TCAGTTTGTAAGTAATAAAAGTTTGGTCCTTGGAAAACGCACAAAGGAGAAATAACATAAAATAAGCAGTCTCATCAAACCAGCTGAATCTATTTCACTTAGCTTATCATTTAAAGCACTTTCAGTCTGGACGTTAACACCCTTTAACAACTGAAAGTCTTGGCCGTGTGTTAAAAATAATAAAAGTTACAGGACAAAGCGGGGTGAGAGGTGTTACGGCTCACAAAGCTACATTTTATAGAGACTCCCGCAAACTGCTGTCAGCCAATCCACATTCTGTCAGTGCACAAGCAGACAGGGCTTTTTGTAAACATCAACTATTTAGTTTTTAACTTTTTGTTGGCAATACACAGGGGGGTGCCACGATAACGCACATTCACCGTTTCTTAGTGACGACCACACCGACCAGCACTCCCATCAGCAGCGCCACTCCAGCCAGCAGCCATCTTCTCATCCTCTCCTGAGATCGCCTCACTTCTGCAGCGCCGTCCTGCCCGAAAATCTCAGCAAAGCAGTCCTGGAAAACAGAAATGATTCAGACAATCAAAACAAAAACAAGAGGATTTGCCTCGTACCTATTCATATCAAGGATTACTTCACAGAAAATCTACAGTTTGGGGTTAAAATATTACTTTTGCACCAATGAACAACTTTAAAATTGATGATCTAAAAATTGCAATAAATGAGAAAATGTGTGTGTATTTAGAGTATTTGTATTTTCTGTTTGTTTTTCTAATAGACATGTATTTGTTGTATTTTAATGTGTTGTCACTAATATATTAATGAGGAAAGAAAGACATTTATAATTCGCTAAACATTGAAAATTGTTGGAGTTTAATATACCTGTTTTTGTTTGCAAATGACAACAAGAGAGATGATAACAAATGTTTGTTGATATTTTTAAATACTGGTTAATAAAAGTACCTTTCAGATGTTTTAATAAATAATATAATGAGGCATGAGTGCACAAATGGCACAAAAGTGCTCCATGCTGCAGGAGTGGTTGGAGAAGTGTTTTGATGATTGATATTTTTCTGGCCACTCCTTGGAATAATTGCTGTGACTCAAAGCTGACTGGATATAGAGCCTCTAGGCAGAGAGTTTCCGATACCAAAATCTGATTATTTTTCTTGTGTTATTGCTTTTTAAATCACTAGACACAGTGAGGGATGCACTTGGGAATAAAAAAAAATAGAATTCCGTGAACGGATTTCTTGGACAATATATCTTCAAACAAAAGTAGTTTTCTTGATATGCCTACAAAGGCGATCTGCTAATACCGAGTATTGATTTGCTTTTTTTATTCCCACACTTTTACCTCACTGTGTGCCACTCATTATCTGTTTTGGATAGACTCAGTCACAGTGCCATTAATAAACCTGCATGTTGACTGCCTTCCTCCCTGCTGACTCACCCATCCTCCCTGGCTCTGGATCCACGGACTGATGTTCTCGTCCAGGTACATGGTCATCCAGTCTGCGATGCGGGACACCAGCTCGCTCATACCCTTCTCCACACACTCCACACACAGCACACCGCCAAATGCAAACAGGCCCACCACACGTCCCCAGTTGACCCCGTCCCTGAACACCTCGTCCATCACGCTCTTAAAGCTGTGGTAGGCTGTGTCAGGAGTGATGTCGAGCTGCGAGGAGAGGTCACTAAACGCTTGCGTGAAGCGCAGTTCAAACTCATTGGCCGAGTCCCTCAGAGCCTCCTTGACCAGCTCCATATCACCCGGGGGGGGGGACGCCGTCCCAGGCTGGCCGCCCCCGTTGACCGCCGAGCCGTTGCTGGCGGCCGAGCCGGCCTTTTCTCCCTCAGTCCTCCTGCCAGCGTCCTCTGTCCTCAGCAGAGAGCATGGGTAGTTCCTCAGAGACAGCTTGTAGCTCACAAAGAACTCCACCAGCTCTCTGTTCCTGTGCGACATGATTTCCACAGAGTGATCGTCCAACACACAGACAGGCTAATCAAACCCCATGGTTTCTCCTGCCATTCCTCTCAGTCTGTGCGCCGTCACATTAGAGCGTCTTCTCCTTATGGTGCAGCCTGGAAGCATACAGAGAGGGGAGTGAAGTCCATGCAGTGGTGCAAAGTAACTAAGTACTTTAATTCAAGTAATGCACTCAAGTACAATTTGGAGGTACTTGTACTTGAGTATTGAACGTTTGTTTGGCTACTTTGTACTTCTACCCCACTACAATTCAGAGGCAAATATTGTAGTTGTATTCCACTATATTTTTTAAACCTTTGCTTTAGTTACACCTGGACTCAATTAAAAAACCACCCAGGAATAAATACAACTGTAAAAACTAGATGCACCTTAGCCAGCTTTGATAAACACATTAATGCATCAATAAATATAATCAAAACATGCACTTTTACAAAATACTTTTGTACTTTGACTAGAGTAACATTTTGAATGCAGGACTTTCACTTTTAGTAGAGTATTTTAGACTCTAATAACTTCCACCTATAGGTACATTCAGCAACGTTTTCAAGTGTTTTAGCACCCGTTGGTTTCCATTCATTACTGTACGACATGAATATGTAACTGGAGACTCATAAAACATTCAAGACTTGTGTAATTCATCACAAGCATGACATTCAGTCACATTTTCATGTCTGAGTAATACTTTCAAATGAATACAAAGTATTTGCTCTACATTAGCACAGAATAAAGTGAACATGTTGACTGCACGGTTAAGCAATCTGCTGATAACTTTCACTTTTGTTATTATATGAATTCAAACTAATGGGTGTCTGGAATGACAGAAAATATGTATGAAACATCGAATAGTGTCGCAAACATTTGAAGCTAACAAAAATAATCAAAACAAAGCACCCTCACAAGCTCAACATTAGGAAATACAACAGCATTAAAACATTACGATGTACATGAAGACATATATGTGCCAACCTGCCACCTTGACAGCTTTAGTTACACGTCACGTAGATATAACTAGTTTTAGCTTAACGTGCTAACTAGCTGTTTATATTTAGTAAACGCATCTAAAACCGACCACAAACTACATTCACGGGAAGGATATGAGGTAATCATCATTTGACAGTTATACTTACAACTGCTAAAAAGGTTGTTTTCCCTTTCAGAGTGCAGCTATGGACTTACTAAAAGCTGTAGTTGTGAATAGAAACAGACTATGGACATTTTTGCAGCTGCACACTATGGTCTGGACTATGATGCACGCTGGCGGTTGGCCAATTCGGCTACTGTACAGCCAGAAGTCCCGCCTCCTTCGGCCGCTGGACCAATCAGCGTCTGAGAAAGACCGGAAATGAAGGGGCCCGTTGAAATACATTTATTGGGAAAGCATTTACGTTTCTTTCCTGGAGAAATGTTCGTCATTTCCTTTTCCAGAACGAGCAGTGGTGTAAAGTAACCTACTACGTTTACGCATGCACTTTAATTAACTAACATTTGGAGAGACTTGTACTTTACCTGAGTATTTCAATGTTTTGCTGCTTTGTACTGAATACCACAGACTACTCCAACATTGATTTAGTTACTTTGAAGATTTTGATTAATGATGTGAAATATAATCAAATACAATCAAGATTTTAGTTACACCTGGAGTACATTCACAAGCTACCCTGCAATGAGTACTTTTACTTCTGGTACTTTAAGTATATTTTGATGGTAATACTTTTACTTGAGTAATATTCTGAATGCAGGACTTTGACTTCTACTTTACTTAAGTACACAATCTGAGTACTTCTTCCACCTCTGAGAAGACATGGATAGACCCCAAACCTGATTCAGAGTTATCATACCAAAAGAACAATTATAATTAAAGTCATGACAAAGAAAAAAGCTGGGGAGATATTTTCATTCAAATCTTATGTCCTTAGTTCTTGTCGTAAACAAAATGTGATCTTGTTCATTTATGATTAATTCTGTGAATTAAAAGTTCAGTAACGTATGAGCTCTCGTTGACAACATGCACTTAACCTACATTTACTTACAACAAATTGACTTTTTTTACAATCCTTTTTATATCACTTTCTTTACATTTAAGTACACACTAAACTTAATCCAAATAATATTTATTTTTTTCGATTGAGAATAGACATAACTACATTAAACCTTCATACATACCTATTTAGCGGTCCTATTACACATGTAAAGCTCTATTATGTTCTATACATGAGAAAATATCTATTCCCATAAGACCTGAATCAAAAATTGTAACAGACTTCAAATGTTTTTATTTAACAAACATATTTATTAAAACATGTACATGAGCATTTAGCATATCCTACATGTTCTAAATGTGAAATAACAATATGATACCGTTTTTTGTCCCAACAAAGAAAATATGTAAGAGGGGAAGTTTGAATAATCATTTAACCAATCTTGGGACAGTTAAGGTGAATAACATAGGAGGAAACTATCAAAAGAATAATGGCTAAAATATATACAATGTCAATTACATATGACATTTATGCACTATATGTCATTCCCCCCCACCCAAAATCAAAATGTTTCATTTTAGTCACTCATGCCATTTGACCAAATATTTGTGATTAGTAACCATCTTTAGACCTGTTCTTTTTGTTTGCCTTGAATACTGTTTACAAGGCACACTTCTAAGCAGCGACACTAACACAAAGTCATCATAGCATTTGCTTTCTCATCTGGCAAAGAGCTTTCCTTTTCACTAGAGGGGTCGTCAGTGTTCAAAGGTTCAGCCTCTTCTGTCAGGTTTGCTGGCTCCTCAGATGGTACATTCTCATCTTGGTTAGAGTCAACATTTCCATTCTCACCTTGGTTGGTGTCAGCATCTCCATTCTCATCTTGGTTGGTGTCAGCATCTCCATTCTCATCTTGGTTGGTGTCAGCATCTCCATTCTCATCTTGGTTGGTGTCAGCATCTCCATTCTCATCTTGGTTGGTGTCAGCATCTCCATTCTCATCTTGGTTGGTGTCAGCATCTCCATTCTCATCTTGGTTGGTGTCAACATTTCCATTCTCATCTTGGTTGGTGTCAGCATCTCCATTCTCATCTTGGTTGGTGTCAACATCTCCATTCTCATCTTGGTTGGTGTCAGCATCTCCATTCTCATCTTGGTTGGTGTCAGCATTTCCATTCTCATCTTGGTTGGTGTCAGCATCTCCATTCTCATCTTGGTTGGTGTCAGCATCTCCATTCTCATCTTGTTTGGTGTCAGCATCTCCATTCTCATCTTGGTTTGGTGTCAGCATCTCCATTCTCATCTTGGTTGGTGTCAGCATCTCCATTCTCATCTTGGTTGGTGTCAGCATCTCCATTCTCATCTTGGTTGGTGTCAGCATCTCCATTATCATCTTGGTTGGTGTCAACATTTCCATTCTCAGTAGGTTTATCTACGGTTTCTGTTTCACTGTCTGAGTCAATGGAAATAGTCTCTGTGCATGTATTGAGTTTTAAGGTACATTTTAGTGTCTCACTCTGCTTGTTTTGGTCTGTGCTTGGAGTACCAGACTTCAGGCCTCCAGATCTCCCCGTGAAGGTGCCAGTAATCGTGCTTTCCACAAACTCCAAGTCATGCTTAACTTTCTTTACAGCGTGCATGTCAAAGCCGAGCAGGACAGACAGCTTCTTGGACTCGCAGTGTCTTTCGCACATCCTTCGCTTGCTTGCGAAGTGACTAGTAATGTCAGATTTCCAGAGCCACAGACTTGCAGACAGCGTCTCCTCTTCCCAAGTAGAGAGGTATGGTCGCTGGTTGAAGTAGGCCGTCAGAAAATCTTTCCGGGCCTCGTAAGTCTTGTGCTCGTAGCTTCCAGGATCCAGAGCGAGGCCGCCACGTATGGACTGATTTCCAACAGTTGTGGAGGAAATATTTGACTCCTTGCTCAGTTTCATCTTCTTGGGGTCGGTTGAGGCCTGAGTTGGTGGCTGCCTCTTGAGGAAGCCAGCCCCGGAGGAGTTGAGCGTCAAGTCGGACTTGAAGCCTTGGCTCGCCTGGTTCCTACCAACAGCTCTGCACTGCACAAGATGCAGCGTGATTGTGGAAGCCACCATGTTACTGGTGTACACACCCAGGCAATGAATGCACTTGTATGTCATCTTTCTTTCAACAGGATGCATTGTTTGGAGCACTTGGTGTCGCTCCCTCAGATGCATGGCCAAAGCCTCGGAGATGGGACCTTTGAGGATGGTGAAACAGAGCGGACACAAAGTCTTCCCGACCTCAGTCTTCTTGCTCTGTCCGGCAAAGTTTCGAACAAGTTGTTCACTTTTCTTTTCAATCATTCTCGGATTAGTTAGCTTGGCCAGCCTTGAAACTTTCTGAGCAGACTGATCTTGACCATTGCTAGATTCCTTCATGTTGAACGTGAGCACAACAAGCTGTACGTTTATGGACTTATCTTGTTTAATGGTGAGATCAAAAGTTAGAGGTGATGCACCTGGGGGTCCAACAAAGTCATCAGGATGAGCCTGGGCGACGTGTTCAATGATCTTCTCAACATTGTGGAAAGCAGCGTGGCACTGCGGACAGGTGAGCCCGTGGATTAGCATGTGGTTAAGCAGTGTGTCACTGGGCAGATAGCGGTTGCAAAGCAGACACTTGCTGGTGAAGTTGTGGATTTTCATGATGTACTTGGCCAGTGCCCATACTTTCTTTGCCTTGTGTGCATTCTCAAAATGAGCACTGTAGAGGTTTTCAGGAAAAAGCTCATTGCAAACTGTACATATCTTCCACTTCTGTGTCTGCGATGTGTTTACACCAGCATTATTTTCAGCCACAGTGTTATTCCCAGGAAGTGTGATACGCACCTTGCCAGATGCGATGGAGTACTGACTTTTAACAACAGGGGCCATTGGCTTTAAATAGCCAATCACTGATTGTGCCATTGGTTCAATTCTAATTGTTTGGCCCCTAATGATCACAGGGGACTTCTGAGAAGCAGCTGGCAAGGATTGAGGCCTGGAGACAATAACATTAGCATGTCCAATCATAGTTGTTACTTGAGCACCAATGCGCTCGTGGTACTCTACAACATGCTGCACTAAAGCTTCATAACTACGAGTGGTAAACGGGCAGCGTTTACAGAGGATGTTGTTGCCATTGACAGAATTAGCACCTTTTTTGGCAGATGAATCAGAAACAATACCAAGATATGGTGACACAATATGCTGAAAATGTTCCCTGTAGATGTGCCGTCTCACAACATTGTAAAGAGCGTCCCGGAACGTGCACTTTTTGCAAAAGTACATTGCTTTCTCCACACCATCTCCCTGTCTCACCCTATCAATTTGCACTTTGTTGTTCTTTCCCAGCACAGCTCCCTGTGGGTTCCCATAACTTTGCTGTGCTGCTTTGGGTATGTGGAATATTTTAACATGAGTCTCCAATGTCTTTTTGCTTGCAGTGAATGAGCAGTAAGGACAGTTGAGCTGAATTTTACCGTCAAAGATTTTTCTGTGTACATTGCGGAAGTGATTTTTGTAGCCCGAGTAGTACTTGGAGGAAAACGGGCACTCCGTGCAGCAGAATGGCTTTGATCTGTATTCCTATAAAACATCACGGGAAAAAACAATGGTATTAAGACAAAAATAGTTATTTGTGCATAAGAATGTGAAAAGGCCTTGGACACAGAAATCACTTTTACCTGTGTTTTAGAATATGATGGATCCCATGAGCAGATATTAAGGCAAAGACTGGCCTGTACATATTGCTCATCAGGGCAAAACTCTTTAAACTCCTGTGGAAAGATTTAGAATTGTTATCGTACACAATAAGGATTAGTTCATATTAAATCAGGCACATTTGACTGCATACAATATTTTGTAATTATCAGCCAGACCGGTAGGTTTAGATACACACCTACACACACTTATAACTATGTTTAAACAAGAATGAAAAAGATAAATAAGCTTTAACTTTAATGCAAATAAAATAGACTCACCTCTGCTGCCTCCTTACAGTACTCTAGTCCAATGTCGCCAAGTGCTCTTTTCACATGTTTCCTAGCTTTCCTGAGCCTTGCAAGGTTATTCACTGGAAGTTGATACATCTCTCCTGAAATCAAATTAACAGCTCATTAGTTTGAGGCAAACTTAAATTGTATTCAAGGGAGGAATTAGTACTAGTATATTTTAGTTAAGTAAAAGTAGAATTAATACAGTACAAAAAATGTACTGTTACATTTAAAAAGCCTTGCAGTAAAAATCTTAAGTAAAAGTACAAATCTATAAAAGTATTGGCATGGTGCAGCTACTTTTAATGCTGGATGTTTAAACCTAACATTATATAATCATAGTTTATTTTTTAGTTTATTATATATAGTTTTAGCTAGTAATCTGAATCTGGAAAGTAACCAGTAACTATATTTGTCAAAAAAAATGTGTGGAATATTCTAATTTTAGTGGATTAGATTACATTAGATTCAATTTAGTCATTTCACAGAGTACAAAGAAATGCAGTTTGCATCCAACCAGAAATTGAGAAAAGAGCGGTAAAGTGCATGAGTTTCCAATGAATTCACATAACAGAACAATGCTGTAGTAATGTAAATAATGTATAAATAAATATATTCGTTTCAGATGCAGATTTAGAAGCATATACGTATACGGTGCAGGGTTTATTAGTTACATTACATTAGTTACATTCCTATGTAATACATAGTAAATACAGATGTTATACGTAGTATAAAGACATCGTTAATGAGTCACAAGGAGCGAAATGTACCTGATTTGATGCGTTATTTATTATGTAATCAGAGTTACACCACATGTTGTTAGCTTTCTGTGCTAGCGCTAGTTGGTTAGCCAACATTAGCTCTGTTGCCCGCGTATGTCCGTAGGGTTACTTAGCTAAGCTAGCGTTCCATAGCCGGTTAGCGTTATTTATTTATTCATTTAAACTATCAGTTCAATCACATATTTACTCACCTTAGGATACGACTGTAGGCTAGCTATCGCCGGTTGCCTCAATACATAAAGGGCCAACAAAGAAGTGGATCGGCTGATCGGGACGGGCAGATGAGGTGATGTTCGCTCTCCTCTGAGCCGGTGCTGATGCTCCACAGCTAGCTCACTAAGCTAGTCTGCTAGCTATATCAGCTACAGTTAGCCAACTTAGCTTGAGGAGGGAAGGGCAGGACAGAGGGGTGCACATCAAATGAAAACAATATACAAGAATAACTGTCAGGACCACCCAGTTCTCTGGCTAAGTCAAGTTAGTCTTGTGTTTGATCTGTTGGTCAGGCTAGCCTGCTAGCTAACGCTATCCATTACAAACAAGCCAACTCTCAGTCGAAAATGGCGACGATAAAAAGACGGAAGTCGTAGCAGGGAGCTGGGCAGGCGCTGGTTGGATGGGTAAAAGTTGGTCTATTGTGGTTGTTTTGGAAAAATGTTTTATTTTCAGCATTGGTGTAAAGTATCTCCGTAGATTTACACAAGTAGGCCTACTGTACTTTAGTTAAATTTCGAGGCACTTTTTCCCATTTCTTGTTACTTTGTACTTCTACCCCAATACAAATTAAAGGTAGGCCTAGGCCTATTTAGTGTACTTTTACTTTTACGGCATTTGTTTTAGGATTTTAGTTACTTTTCAGATTAGGAATAAGGGTGCGAAATGTAAACAACAATTAAACAAGACTTTAGTTACACCTGGAGTAAATTCACAAGCTACCCTGCAGCATACAAAGTCATTAAAATTAGCTGCACATTAACGAGCTTTGATAATACTTTAATGCATCAATAACAATGTTCAGAAAATATTTTTTATATAGGCCAATCTGCAAAATGAGCACTTGTACATTTGGTACTTAAGTATATTTTGATGCCAATACTTTTGTACTTTCTTGTGAAAACATTCTGATTGCAGGACTTTTACTTGTAACAGAGTTTTTCTTCACTGGTATTTCTACTTGTACTTAAATACTTAAGATCTGAGTACTTTTTCCACCTCAGATTTTCAGTCATACAAAGCAAACATGTATTGCTCATGAATTCATGAGAACACTATAGACACACAATCATTGAGTTTAACTCTTGCTGCGACCATAACCATGTTCAGTGATTCCAACCCCGACCCCAGACAATGTAGATAAGAACTCTGCCAGTCAGTCTGTAATTGGGAAAAATAAACTTCACAAAATGATCCTCCATTTCCAACAGAGCAGTTTTGTCTGAAACCAGAAATATGTTGTCATTCCAGTGGTTCCATAACTTCCAGTACAACGGTGCGAGGCCCTGTCATCACCAGCCTGGAGACTGTCCTGTAGTCCAGGTAGAGAACACACTGTCCATTCACCTGGCACAAAAACTGCCGTACCTAAAGAAGATAATGTGAAGTACACAGGTCTTAAGAGTCAAATATGTGATGTTTTTCAAATTCCTTTGAGGGTATTGTACTATTTTCTGTGCCATGTGTGAAACATATATCTAACCTTAACTCCAGCAGCGGCTGCAGGGCTTCCAGGGTCAACAGCCTGCACATAACAGGGAGCCATGCCTCTGACAACAAAGCCCCAGGCCAGGTCATCTCCTATCACCTGTGATGAAGGTGAGTGACATTACTTTGTGCAGTAATTAAATAGATTATATTGTATCAATGTTAAGAAACAACATTATTATTCCACATGGAAGAATAATCTCTCAAAAATGCATTACATCTTGTTCCTAGGCAACTTTGAAGTGATTTAATTCTCCACTTAATTTAGGAGTATTGTTGTTAAATTGATACAGGAATAATGCTGTTTACACACCAGAGATGCCTCCAATGTTAGCCCTTAAAAATCAAAAAAGTTATAACAAACTCACCGTCAACACTTTCTTCATGAAAGGCGCACCAGGTGCCAATAACTCTTCACATGTATAACTTCTTCTAAGTACTGGAAAAAGTGTTACAAACAAGTCAAGAACATTCACCATTTCCAGTTTTGGACCTCAATAGAACATTTCGTTTATTTGACACATGAATATTAATTACACACTTGCCTGATTTAGGATTACATATTACTGAAGTTGAATTGAGCTGGACAAAGGGTGGAAATCCAGCAGAGTGAAGCTGAGAGGAATTCAAGCTGCCTCGACGCCCACTGGTAACCTGTTTCAGATATTTACCTGACCCCACCGTAGTTAATTAGTAGTGACTTTTATATTTGATCATTAGTATTCAAAGTTTATAAAATAGGCAAAAAATAGTGCAAAAATGGAAAGAGATCAGTTTTTACCTGACTGGAAAGCACTACTGCCCTCTTGAGGATGGCTTTTGTGCAAAACAAATGGACTTTCAAGATGGTTGTCCTCTTGTGTCAATATCACCACATCTTCGTCGTCCTCTTCACTTTCACTCAAGAGTTCAGATAGGTGGCGTCTGCGACGAAAATTTATGCAGAACTGATACAGCAGTCCACTGTCAAAGAAATCATACTTCTTTGCCACTAGTGGTGGGAAAGGGACAGAGAAAGACACAAAACAACACGTTTTAAAATGTATGGGATTTAAAAAAAAAAAACTCCATGAGGGTTTTTTCTTCAGATTTTAAAAAGTGCCAGCCCTCCCCACTGCCAACAACAGCTCACAGTCCTGTTTCTATACATCAAAGGGTAAGTAAAGACTCCCCTCACCGTGCTGAACGATGCCATGCTCCTGCAATATGCGGCACAGATCCAGGGCCTGACGCCGGCTTTCTGCCTCCATGTTCTGAAGGAGCCAGTCGATCAACTGGCAGCCAGGAAAGGAGCGCTGATAGGCAACGCCATGCTCCACTCTCAACTGCAGAATGGAGTCCTTGTCCCCTATGAGACTTGAGAAAGAGACACAAAAACCCTAAGTAGATTCGTCATGAAAATGCTGGATATAGCATTTCAAAGTTACCAATTTGGGATCCCAACTTGTACACTCTTAGGTCAAAGAAAAGTATCCCAGCACCAAAACGAACTGTAGCTCTTACTGTTCAAAAAGTTGTTGTCCTCGCATGAAGATTTTCACCTCTGTGTTGAAGGGAAAGGTGCCGTCATCCTTCCGGAAACGGTACAGTAGTTTGGCATCCTTCAATACTGACCTCTTATCACAAACTATGAAAAGAAAACATACAGTTTCAAATCACATTACATGTCACTTTACTGATGATCCAAAGCAATTTAAGTAAACTTTAATACCATAAACATGCCTACGAGAGTAAATGTGGGTTAAGTATCTTGCTCAAGGAAAGCTCAACATGTCAGCTGCAGGGGCTGGGGATCAAACAATTGACCATCTAAATTGGTTAGCTCCCCTGAGCCACATCTGCTCCATTGGATACGTTTTGAAATAAGTCTGTCTTTTCATAAAAGTTCAATAGAAAAACATTAATTCAGAGAAGGTCTTCATATATCCCCTTTCAATCTGCTTCATTATTACCGTGGTGAATGATGTCATGATCCATGAGGTGCTGCATGAGGCAGACGGCTGTCGCTCGATCCGGAGCTTCCTTATGGCTCACCAGCCAGTCTATAAGTTCCTGTGCCACAAAGCAGTTTGGATACGTGCGCAGGTGGTAGCGTCGGTCCTTGATCAGTTTTCCATCGTGTAGCCTCAACCTTGAAATTAATCAGCCATATGTTTGACCTAACACTTTGAATCCCCCATAAACCTGACCAAAGACATATCATACATCCACTCCAGCACCACCTCTTTCTCTCTTCATACCTGAGTTGTTCTCCAGCAATCATGACCTCTCCTTTATGTTGTCGGGCCATAGTTTTTCTCCTAAAGCTGCTTGCTCTCTCCATGTTTGTTTTATGTGGACTGGAAGGTAATGCAAGCTAACTTTCCAGTATGGCCCCTGTTGTGTTTACAAAATAACACACAGAACCCCAATTGCCATGTGGGAAAGATGTTGTGTATACAGAAAGAAAGGAAGACAAGGACATGGTACATTTCTGTCAGGCATGCCACAGACAGAATGCAGAAACCTGTCAAACCTTTTGTTTTTATCGTTTCTTAAGGCTGAACTGTAACTGGTTTTCCTCTTGGCTGTTTTTGACGGTGCATAGCGCATCTTGGAATCATTTTTTGTATTCAACTTTGAGAGAAACAAGTGAGTGACTGTTGATATCCACATGGTAGTCCTTTTCTAATTGCTTTCGTGCTGCTTATGCACTGACGACAGCCAGTTAATGGATGCTGTGATGTTGCAACCCGAAATGGAACAAAACTCTGGATTATCTAGGGTGCTTTATGGATGTTAAAGCTTCTTAGAAGACTTGCTGTTACGTGTCAGCCTTCTAGCATTGGATGAATTTGAAGTAGGTCACATTTTAAATATGGATGCACTGATCCAACTTTTTTTAAGCCTGCATACTGATACTTGGGCTTTGACTACCAAACTGATACCGGTGTTAGATTAATAAACTGTATGCCTTACTGTGTGGAAGTGACTGGGATCCTTGTTTCATGTTTAAAATAAAATCAGGCCTGGCTTAAACATTGCTTTGCTAACTTTGCAAACCTAAAGGTAACACATAAATACAAAGTGTATTACTGAATTGTTAAATTAAATATGAAAACAATATTTTATGCACCAACAACTTGATGAAAATGAATATCTTCCAAATGAACAGGAAGTTCTGAAAAAAATGGTCAGGATTGGTAAATTCAGTATATAACATAGTTGAATAGATAGGCCCCATTTAACACAACAGGGGATATTATTTTGACGTCATCAGCAGCAAGTATACCAGCCAACGCAACCTCTTAACTTAACACTTAGGGCCAGCAAAGCAAGCCTTATTTTTCACTTTAAAATGTTTTATACATGGTCAGTAGGCACTGCTGTGTCATGTCAGTAACAGCCAATCCCACAACAAGCAAACAAACAAAACAAAAAAGGACCATGCGGTTACATTTGATTATTTCTAACATGGAAAGTTAACCACTGATATGTAGCAAGAGATGCCAAATGGCTTTGTTGGCAGCTTTCTGCTGACTGTTGAGTCAAAATGACAAAATCCAACTAATTGAGTCTGTATCGACCTGATCCGTGCATCATTACAGCGGTTGTCTTCTATGTAATGTGGTTTCTGAATTTGTTTTGTAATCAAGGACATCACAGGTTATGTCAAGTGGGTCTTTGGGATGTGAAAGCAGCATCCATGCTTTTAGCCTCTCAACACTTAACACTGCCTACTTTACAAAAATTGGCAGATCTAAACCCGTACTATAGCCCCTACCTTAACCGCCTATAAAGAAGCTACATGATTAGTGTAGTTTGTAGGTGGGTAGGCACAATTAATATCCAAATAATATCCATTTTCACTTAATGGTCTCACTCCAAATAAAGTGAAA